CTGGATTCATGTTACTCAACAGCGTTTTCCACAGCACTGATACTGTTGTTTTGACCTGAAACGCCACGGTTTTTGAATAATGCAATATCTGTGGTAACAAGTTAACTTTGAACTGAATTTCATCAAAATAGAAAATGGGTGTATGGGTATTAGTTCAAAATTGACATCATTTCACTCGGAAAGGGTCAGGCATTTTGTGCTTCTTCTTGGCAGTAACTAGTTGCTGTCAATCATCAAATAAACTATCAATAATAATCATGAAAGTTCGAAAAACGGAGGGCTCGAGAAGTTTTGCTTGCTCGTATTTACAATAATCAACCATTCTTCAGTTTTTCATCTGGAAGACATAAAATGATTTTGAAAAGTGACACTAATTTCATTTCATTTTCGACATTTGATACCCTTATTGCAAATCCTACAAATCAAAATGTGAAACTCTTGGAAATATGGTCAATTGCCACAATTATTGCTGAAGAATTTATTGAAAATAAGCTACAAAAATGATCCCTTGAAGGTGTAATTGAAGGAAAAGTGCAGGACTTTGTAATCTCACTTTCACTGGTCTAGTACTTACTGGAAGATAATAATCGTAGTAACAAATTGCATTTTGTTTTCTCCTTTATGTTTTCAAACCTCTATGCATTCATCATTATATATAATTTGATATCATTTTTATTACATTGTCAAATAATGATGGAATCCCAGTAAATTTCGTACTTCGTGAATTGGGTACCATCTAAATAAGGAAAACCATTCATGTATCCTTCTCTGAGACAGGCGGAAGAGTTTATTGAAAAACCATCGCCAACATTCACAGAATATCTACTAAGCCAGAAACGAAGTTCAACTAGAATACTAGTGGGATTTCTCACAGGGCATTGTAGCCTCAAAAAACACATGAGTACGATAGGTCTGACTGAAGAACTGCTGTGCAGGCTCTGTCAAGAAGAGGAAGGAACAGCAGTACACATACTTTGCCACTGTGAGGGCTTGTCAATACTAAGGTTCCTTACGCTGGGTGAGGAAAAACCAGAAGCCCAGAGATACACAGGATATCTGAAAGCTAGCCTATGGAGTCTCATAGAGAAGGCGGGGCTAGCCGAAGAACTCTAATCGATTTTGAGGGCAGACACAATAGATCTGATAGGGTCGCAGTGTGGAGGCAGATAGCCCGAAGGCCCCATTCCAAATCTAATCTAATCTAATCCTTCTCATTCGTGGTTGATGAACGGCAGGTTTTTACATGAGTACCTCCCTATAGCATGTCATCTCAATTTGAAGTCAACACACCAACTATGACTGAATTTTCAACTTGTATCTGCATATTTCATTTACATTCTAGTACAATTCAGCGTAGGAAAATAATGCGCAGACAATTCGTCGCAGATGAGTAGTAAGGGAAATCAACTGGCAATTTGTTTTTCAGAATGTAATCGAGTACTTACTTGCTGTTATACAAAAAATGAAACTTTTTTGCATTATTTTTTATCACAAGATTCTGTTTCTACGACTGTCACGAAAAACCTTCATTGTATGTTCAATGATGATTTTCAAATGTAGTACATTGTGCACTAGTGGCCTAGCAACTAGTGCACAACGTCAGTTGCTATCGGCAACAAGTGCACATTGTTAGGTTGCTAGGCAACAACTGTACAATGTTTGAAATGCGTACGGGTACCTTACTAGTCGAAATAACATAGTCAATGAAATATCAGGGTCGATCAATAAGTTGTCAGACCTTCCATCGACATCAGACAATAATGTCAACATCTCCCTTACAAAAAAAAGGGATTCTATTTCCTTGAAACTAATAATAATTGTACTGTAGAAAAAGTATAGTGTAAAACTTGCACGGAATGGCCATTTCCTACTCGTATGATTTGCAGCACTCGCTTGTAGCTCCTGCTGCAAACTTTCATACTCATTTCGTGCTCGTTGTACAATATACTATTAAAATTCATCAATCATATGTGTACGGACGCATGAGAAGATTAGTAAACCACACAACAAGGCATTACACCCTATCATCTGCGGCGTATTGCCGCTGCGCGTAAAGGACCACGCGCACTGAATAGACTCGGATCGGTCGGATCGGCTCTAAAAATGCAATTAAATACAGGGTATTCTATTTGAAATGACAAAATTGTTGCTACTTATTGATAGAAGTGGCAACACTGCATTGCTGAAAATATTTTCGATGAAGAGAGCGTATTCTGAAATATATAAGCATGCAAATTTTCGAGGATTTCTCCTGAATGATTCTCGATATAAAGATTGTGTAAACTCGTCATGACATACTCTGTATGGCACCAATTTATATTCTTTTTCTTAATATTTAAGTGGTTCTGTCAAACAGTATATCTGAGCCTTTTCTGCGAAGAGTAAGTGTGGTTTGACTGGTTTTACACCAACTTCCTAGCTTTATTATGACCTTGACATCACTCACTTTCTGACAAAACGGCCAATGTGATGAGAATACGCTGTGAGTCTGAAAGCAGAAAGAAAGCATTTGAATGCGCCGCTACACATCACACACTGCTCGTCAACAGTAGAAAATAAAGCCACTGTCAGACATCTACCGTCACCCACTGTGGTCAACAGTTGTTATCTTCCTGTTCTGTTGTCTCAATCTATGCAATGATGTCTTCAGGACAGAAAAGGTACCTACCGAATATCATGGGTTTCAGAAATAGTCGTACTGACGTGCCAAATGGTACTGAATCAGGGCCTACTCTATCTCACCGGGCCGGAGCATCGCTTTCGTGACGTCACACTAGTAGGGACAAAATCAAGGCAGTGGGAATTGTATCTCCCATTTCTTTGATTCACCTCGGGAAAACGGTCACAGTTAGCGAAAACTATCAAGAGGTCAAATATGTACAGAGAAGAATTTTTTCAGAAGATGAATCAAATTTCACTGATTTACGATCATTAATTTCAGAAATATGGCATATCAAAATAAATTGACGCCATTCAGAATTGCCCTTTTTCAAACAGCTACCAAAATTCCAATATTCAATTTACAGAAATGATTCAACCATGAAAATATTTCGCATAGTATCTAGATTGACTGAGATTTTTCTTGAAATTCCCAAGGGCCAACAACAAACCGATATTTCAATTCAAGTAGAACGATGATTCAGGTGTTCATTACAGAATAGTTGAAAAAGTTCGGACGCCTCCCATGCTGATCCTATCAACAATGGATATATGCTGTCACTGACTTTTTTAATACACATCCAGTTTATCTCGAAGGGTTTTAGCAGCGTTCATCTCTGAAGATGATCAGGACGCACTTCGATGACGTTAGAAATCCTATCACTCGAGTGTGTTATTACACAAAAACGCCTATTCGGTATCAATTATTTTCTGCTGAAGAGTATTTGCTTTTGGGTGTATGATGAATTGACATTCATCATACAGGGCGTGGAAAGAAATTCTGAATTGAGACTCTATCACGAATCTGTGTGTGTTCAATAGATATAATTCAATGTTCGTCGTGGCATATAGCCAGGAAAGTAGTTGTTTTCTATTGAATCAACTGAGAAAGAGTAAATATTCTCATCACATAGGGAATGCGAATTCTCAATGTATTGCTTTATATAAATATATATATCCATTTTGATATGTTCATAATTTATCTGAGAATATTCTTTTTCAACAGTATATATTTGAATGATAACTTTGAATTCATGAAAAAAAATTGATTTGAATATATTTGCAAAGTATCAAAATTAAAAAGAACAAAATATGTGGAGTTCATATGAACACAACCTAACAAAAATAATTGAAAAAATATATATCTCAACAATGAGAGATATAAAAATGAATATAACGACTTGAATAACAAAATACCCAGAACAACGATATATGAATGAATAAGCAAAAAATAAAAAAAAAAACGTTGAATCCTTATACACAAACAAAACGAAACAAAATAAACTGTATAAATGATCAACATAAAAAAATGAAACAAATTGATAGATATCACAAAATGGAATACACTAATAACAAAAAAATATATACATCATCTTAATCGAAAACTAAATATTGAAATCTGAACTATATCTCATCTTGAAAGTTTAGTGATTTTTCTTTTTTAATTTTTTTTTATTTTGCAATAATTGTTCAACGGAATATTTGAAATGGTTTTAGAGAATGTTCTGCTGATTAAATCAAAAGACCCACACTGCAGAACTGCAACATATTGATTCTCGGAATAATTGGGAATAAGGGAATTGATTTTAATTTCTGCTGAATTCTCCAAAACTTTATGTTGTGACTTACATTGTAGAAATATTGCTTTGAATTTTTCAGACACCAATATTAGTTGGTCTGAACCATACGCCATTTAGAAATAAAATGAGTAATAAAAAGTATATCGCCCTTTACCAGTCCAAGGAATTACCGCGAAATCGTAATACAGCGAAATTTGGGTAGGTAGGTATAATGCCCCATTTTTTACGCGCTCTTTATATTCAATTTCTCACTATTCAATTGATTCATTATCGTAGTTTGATATATTGAGTTAGTTTCATCTTATTCCAATTCCAAATTTGCAAAAAATAGTATTCTGTAGTGCAACGTCCTGATTTTCAATGAAATGGAATTTCGTTACAACGTTAACTCGGTATTGATTCATCCTATTGGATTCATTTTTTCACCAAAAGTTGAGGAATTTGTTGGGGATCATTTCGTCTCGATAGAGTGTGCTTCTAAAATTTATAGTAAATGAGCTATAGCCTATCAATTACCAACGCATCAGTACGGACTGATGTGAAATCTCAACCTACTAGTGTGACGTCAGCGTCGAGAGAGAGGGGATAGACTACGGCCCGGTAAGATAGAGTAGACCCTGACTGAATTCAGTACAAAAGTACCGAAGACCGAAACGGCAGCACTGCGAAGTGCGACCGATCCGAGACAATTCAGTGCGCGCGGTCTTTAATTCCCCCACTCCGACCGTGCTCACTACCCCCACCCTCACCCCCACCCCTCACTCACCGCTTGCACGGCGGCGGCGGCTTCACGCCGTGCCCCTCCATCGTCTTCTCCAGCTGCTTGATGCGCAGCTGCGCCACATCTAAGTCCCGCTTCACCTTCCACAGGTGCGTGTCGCAGACGGGGTCCTTGCAGCGGTGGTTGCGCAGGATGTCCTGCGCCTCGAACACCGCCCCACGGAACGTGAGGCTCTTGCCCATCGAGAGGCTGATGAGGGCGCAGCAGCCGCCGCGATCGGTCTTGGCGAGGTGCGCCCGCAAGTACTTGAAGTACAGGTACTCCATGAGCAAGAGGAGAGCTGCAAGAAGATAGCTACCCACTAAACGTGAAAACATAACTGGACCCATTAGCGACGTGCGTTACCATACGGCAACGCTTGTCAGGTTGTGATTCAATTAATTCCCAAGCACTCAAATTTTTAGCTATGAGGGTGAGAGACAGCCCACATGATTCGCAAAGAAAAACTGGCTATGCACATGTCGCCAGTTCTTTGTTGTGAGTAAGCTGGTTCAACCACGTGAATTTGTGAAACTTTGAGTCCATTTGAACTGACGTAAAACATGGACGTCACGTTCGTGTACGTATCCTTTTTTCACGCATTTGATTTCGCGATTTTTGTTTTCATAATAATGTTGCACATGCTTCAAGATATATGACATATTGAAAAATCTTGCAGGAATATTCTTTGTGCAGAATATCTGCATTAAATATTCGTGTTGCCATCTGGCAACGCTAGGCGCCCTCACTCAGCGAATGTGGTGACTCTCCGCCAATGGATGTTGAACCATTGGCCGGAGAATCTCCTCTTCGGAATTCTGCTAATACTTCCAATATGTGATGGGTCAAATAATTGGATGACTGAGCGGGAAACGACGAAGTTATTCAGCCAGAAGAAACCAGGTGGTATGCGTTGTTTTTGAAGGTCATCAAGCAGTACTATTTGTGTATGGGCGAAACTGATCAGATGGATCAAAATATTATTTATTACCGCATAGGAATTCGTACTGGCCCCTAATTACTTGGATATTGGACGTTTTCATGCAGAATAGCTGGATTTTGACTATGACAATGTGGTCAAAATGTAATGTAGGTAGTTGTCTTAATATCTCGAAATATGTATCACAAGCGCCTAGTGTTGTAATATGGCAACAGCAAATTTTTGGGAAACCTGAATTCCATTTATGATTTTTTATACTTTTTTCGTATTTCTAAAGAATTTCTCACTAGTTAATGGCGATAGAATATCAGAAAAAGGGAAAAGTAATTCCGGCGCTAATGGGTTAAACCTAAATGTTACATTGTTACTTTGTGATGTTATTCAGAGAGATGATTAGTGTCACAGATACGTTGTGGGAATAGGCCTTTGTGCCTCTTTTATATATTACAATGTAATGTTGATGGTAATAAATATAATATAAATATAGCAGAAACCACATAAAATCAATGTTCCTTCATAAAGTATATTCAATGTTACTCAAAACATCTAACCAATATTGTATATTAACATTCTAATTAGTTTCTAGGAGTTTTTAGGTTATGTCTATTTTGTCTAGGACCATCGAGAAAATCATCTGAATGATCTTCAGAAAAGACAGAGAAGATGATCTATCTCTGAATATGAATTGATCTTACCGTACTCTTGAAAGACTATAAGTATGATGCAGTTACACAGTGATATTTTGAGACAGATTAACTACTATCTTTCTAAGTATCGTTTTAGTTATTCTGCTTCAAAAATCCAGTCAGTCCAGCTATATGACTTCTGCATAATCCAGTGATATCTCACTGATATTCTGGAAATTGTAATAGGTAAATATATACCTATACGAATTTTTGGAAGTTTTCTGAATTATTTTGAAATTCTATTCTATTTTTTTCTTCTAGCTATGATATATAACTCACCCATTATTTAGAAGGAAAAATATTATCCCCTTGTATCCTGTATACATGTAAGCTACGTTATAAGGTGGTGAAACGAAAATTTTGCACAAATAACATAAAAACTTTGTCTGAGATATATCAATAATCACAATATTATCTAATGATATTGATATCAATATTGATGCAACGTCTCATAAACGTTTTACTTCATAATATTATGTTGGATACTTCAGAAGGACATTATCGCAATGTTATTTCAACAATATCATGAAACTTATAGCTGAAAAATATTTTTGTTATGTATCATGTTTAGTGGGTAGGTTAGGTCAGGGTTGGTAGAAGTGATGACTATTTGTAGAGGAAGGTTCATGGTGTTTACCAATGATTCATTTGTTGTTTCTTGTTGATATTCCAATTAGTTTGAGTATAGATCTGTAACAGTTTCACGAAACTCTTACCTGCCAGAAGTATTCCAGACATGAGAAGAAGAAAAGCTGATAGAAACTGTTCGAGAGCTAGAGGATCAGAGCTTTTGTGCTCTTGCTTGCCAGGTTTGCAGACTCCTGTCATCCAGTAGCGCCGCAGCCTTTCCAGATCTCCGTTTTCCCGGAAGTCGAGCAGTCTCTTGTTGAACATCTTGAGGTATTTGGAGTTTCTGGGAAAGGCCAGGCCATATCTGGAAAGCGATGAGACTACTATTGAAATGTTTCACAGTTCGAACAAAATGTTCAATACGATCGAAGATTGAATATACTCCATGAAGAATAACGAGAGAATACACACTTCAATCATTTTGAATTGCATCGCATACTGAAATATTCTCACCCCGTCATGGCATACCACGACCCTACAGTCAGTAACCTGCAATCTTCATCTTGTGAAGTTAGGTACTCCAGGACCGTACCATCGTAAATGAAAGCGTCCAGCTCCCCGCTGAGCACTCCTGCAACGCCCTGTAAATCAAAATAAACGGATAGTTTTCGATTCTATGTATAATTTGTTATATATAATGCGATTTAGAAGTTGTATTTTTTGTAAATTTTGAAGTATTCTGGAATGAAAAGTGTTGATGCTTATGAAAAATTGTAACAAATATTTCAGATCAACTTCGCTCTCGAAAAGAGTATCCAAATAGGATGAGGCAATGGAAATTCGAATAAGTTTAACTTAGCTACGGCCGATTTGATATCCAAGTGTTCGAGGATGTTGATAGCTCCAAAAAATATCCAGTTTCAGACAGCCAATAGGGCAACTCACCTGTATGACGTTAGATCGGTTATAGTTGACCATGTAAGCGTGCATCTCTTTGAAATATTTGGCCATGGTCGAATCGCTATGGGAATAGGGAATGGTGCCGAATTTGATCGAAGGCTTATAGGAGTAGGGCCTGCACAAACGAGGGTCATCAATGCCTGAAACCAAACATAAATTCTCTTGAAAATCATGTATGTATCATTTACGTAACATCTATGTATCCATGGCATCACAATCAAGAATCTGGTACGTGTCAGTTACGTATCAGTTACGTGGCAAACACGTCTCAGTTACGTAACATGTACGTATCAGTTGTGTAACAGATACCTGAAAATTCGAAATATTCCTCTCTCGTTATCATGAAGGCGGCTAAGTTGGCAGTGTAGATGGCGAGGAAGACGACGGCGAACATGGCCCAAACGTTGGTCATGAATCGGGCGGTGAATCCCCTGGGAGAATCAACGTGCACTGCTGCTTGGAATAGCACTGCCCATACTAGCCAGTATGTGCGGAATAAGGAGAATCTGTGAGAAGCTGAGGGATTCTGAAAGGAAGGATCATCAGAATATGCTGGCTCTGGACGTTAGGGTCCGAAAATATTTGGCCATGAGTACCCGCAGTCCACAAGGCTATATATTGTTTCATGCACTGTGGACGAATTTTGGGTGATTTCATATTATGAATTCGACACAAACTCAATTATAAAAAAATATCGAAGATCTAAGGATTGCTTTCAATTCATACTGCTAAACATTTTTGTGATCATTGTCGATCTAAATGGAAACCTAGTAGGCGTCCTATGTTATAGCTCTAGCCTACTAATAACCTTACTAGGTTGTCATTCGGAATGACAATGTTGTGATTATATCAAATGCAGGATTCCACAAGATAGTGATGTTAGTAGAGGGGCTATGTATGTTCTGGCTCAAGCCAATCAGAGACCAGCATCTAGTTGGAGGCCACACGGAACATGAAAATTTCATGGAAGTGTCACGAAAGTGTCACGGAAACGTCACGGAACATGGAAATGTCATGGAAGTGTCACGGAAGTGTCACGAAAACGTCGTTGGTAGAAAATTGTTGCGAAGCTCCTCCACATGTATGTTGGTCTAGACACTTCCGTGACACTTCCCCCTCTACTGATGTTCAACTGCAATTATTTGATCACGTCAATGATATTTCCGGTCCGCGTTGCCGATGTTGAATAATAATCAGATATAGAGTGTTCATCATTTCCAAAACTGATTGAGATAAAATAATTATTTTAGCTACACACCACTTTTCATGCTGAATTCACTATAATTATTGACAGATTTTTTTTAAATCAAAACTATATGCTAAACAGGGTCGACTCAATGTACTTTCACCCTCACTTTTTCATAGCAATATTATATTTGCAATTTCGCCATAGAAAATGACTTCGATTGAATGGTCATTTCTTAATTTCTTTGGGGAAATAATTCCTGAAAGAGTGAGGGAAGTGAGGGCTGGAAACATACCTAGACGACCCAGTTCAAGAAACTCCGGAAGAAATGTCAATTGAAAAGTTCAAATCATTGAAATCAGCACAAAGTTTACATACACAATTTTATCATTTCATCTCAAATCGTTCGAACAATAACAATAAAAAATTCATCTTCAGGAGAGCCTCTTTAGAATTTATTGATGATTTCTTGAAAAGTTAACAATTTTTTTCAGCCAATTATAAATTTCCTTCGTTCTCAAATATTTGAATCGGCTTCTCTCTGAGCATTCTTTCGAAATCTTCTAGGTGTGATTATCACCAATTCACATTCAGTTCCATTAGCAATACAATGTCTGCGGATCACTTGGAGATACAAATAATCTATTCAGGAAAGTGCACTCAACGGTATAAATAGAAATAAAATATCTCGATAAAAATGAGACTGTGAGAGGAGAAATGGGAAACAGGCAAATTGAATTCCTCGCTCGCATTAATTTCGGACGAAAATGACGAATTTGTTTCCATCATGGCCAACCATAATTTCATTTAAATTCAGATATTGAAATGCTGAATTGAATGAACAAGGAATTGACATGTTATTCAAATATTGCCTTACTTGTCTTTGTTGGAAGTTTCATGCAAGAAGATATATCTCCATTCTAGGAAAATTCCAATTATTGTTGGTTGTTTGAAATCGAGGATTATAACGTTGGTGTCATGGCTGGATCAAATATCGATAGCGTCCTAGGCAAGCATCTCATCGGCGCCCCTCTGGTGGTCATGATTTATCATAAATTATAACTACTGATATACAGTGACTATCAAAATCTGGAAACGGTCTCATATTTCAGAAACGGCTCAGAGAAATCTGAAAATTTATGCAGAATGGGTTTTGATGACGCCCAATTGAATGGTGGTATTGGCAATGTTGCCAAATCAACAGTTTTTCAGATATCGGGGTAACTCAATGTTTTTCAATGGAACACGTTATTTATTTTCATTGCAACGAATCCAAATCCCCCTCATAATAGTACGAAACAATGTGGACTGTTTTATTTGTCTGTCAGGATACATTTCATCAAAAATGGCGCAAACTCAGAATTTTATGAATGTAAATAAATAGCGTGTACACATGGAAAAAATTGAGGGACCCTCAATATCTGAAAAGTTGCTGATTTGTCCACATTGCCAATATCACCTTCGATGAATAAAATTGCATGATATTTTATCGAGCCTTTTGGATAATATTGTCCCGTTCGCAGACATTTCTACGAAATTCCATTTTGTCATTGTACGAGGTAAATATATCCGAAATGAATTGATTCGAAAGAAGTCATATAACCTATTTGTGAGAGATATAATTTCCATATCACTGATACGAATTTATTTTTTTTAAGTTCCAAGCTCATTAAAGATCAGAGTTTATACAAGTATACTTCTCCTATACATTCCAATTTTCATTTCAATACTGAACATATTGGTAAGCTATATTTTTATATCATAATACATCATACTATTCATCAGATCTGCGAGAGAATGTCAATTATCAATTTCAGAGGTTTTTGATTTTTCATGCTCTCCTTTTGGATGTTCAACAGATATAATTCAATGTTCGTCGTGGCAAGCTCGGTGAGAGCTATTTGAAGAGGAGATCCCAAACATTTTTCACGAAATTCATTATATGGGGTGGATCAGAAAAATTATCGTTTCAAAATCTTCTGAAAACTCATACAGGGTGTAGCATGAAAGCAATCTTCGTCTTCGCACGATATTTTCACCTGGTTAAAGAACAGCTTCATGTTGACGCCGCTCGGCGAGAGTCATTCGAAGAGAAGAGGAACCTGAACATTTTTCACAAAATTACATAGGGTGGAGCAAGAATTTAACTCCTTCGAATCTTCCTAAAAATAATACAGGGTGGAGCATAAAAGCTATCTTCGTCTTCGCACGATATTTTCACGGGGTTGAAGGACAGCTTCATATTGAAGAAGCTCGGCGAGAGCCATTCGAAGATGAGAAAAACCCAAACATTCTTCACGAAATTCATTATATAGGGTGAATAAAAAAATATCGTTTTCAAATCATCTGAAAAATTATACAGGGTGGAGCAAAAAAGATATCTCCGTTTTCGCATGATATTTTCACCTGGTTGAAGGACAGCTTCATGTTGAAGCCGCTCGGCGAGAGCCACTCGAAGAGGAAAATCATGAAGGTGGCGGCCTGTATGGCGACGATGCCCACCAGCATCCAGGAGGCGGTGTCGAAGGGTTCCAGGAAGGCGGTGGGCGAGATAATTCCGGTGCGTTTGGCCACCACTATGGCTATACCTGTTTCCATGTACGGCACGCTGAAATCCACCTGGAAAAAAAGAACACGCTGAAATCCACCTGGAGAAACACAACAAGCGGTTTATTGAATAGGAACATTTAATGTTCTCGATGGGTGCATCTAGTTGAACAGTGCAACCAAGATAAGGTTGCACAGCATGGGGAGACGAATTCGGTTGAATGGGAAGAGAGTTGCGCATTCCGAGGGTCATTCCAAAGGACTTCGAATATTTTCAGAATTGTTCATAGTTTCCTAGTTATATCGAAAAAACTGAATTTTTGGAAAATTGTAACGAAAAATCTCACAGTTGTGAATTATCGTCCCTTTTTGAGAATACTTTTCATTCACCTCGTATACTCTGTTCTTCGTTAGTGTTCGTTGATTGGTTGGATAGTTGACATTCAACAGGTAAGTATAAGACATGATCGTTCTGCTTGTCACACGGTTGTCGCTTCTAATCTATTGCTGACCATTGCACTTGTGACTAACTGATTTCAATCATTTCACGACCTAATGGAACAGAGCCGATTTTCATCCGGATGTATGTGAATATTTGATTGATGAGGTTTAATTAGAATACTTTTTTAACGGAGATTTCATAGTTTCTCGTGGAAGTTGGAAGCTTGGTAACACCGTCATCACCGCGAGTCTGCGTTTTGAATAAAAATAATTGAAGCACGGAAAAAGGAAATGCGAGTTCGCTGAGTTCGCTCTCTCCTGAGAATATCCATCCTGGAGTAAAGACGCATGGCGAGTTTTTTCCCGAGAAAGACTGAAACCAGGTAATAAATGGATTCTCTCTTATAAAAATTTTGATGATTGATTTCTCATAATGATTATTTAAAAAATTTCTGATTGAAATTGAAATTAGATTGGTTCTGTTTTTGAGTGAAAAATTATCTTTCGCTTTTTCTTGAAGATTCTCAATTATTGAGGAATTTCGAAGTTGGATTTGATGAGCCGCCATTTGCTCTCAAACTGAATTTTTGTATCTCTGTATCTTCAATGTAATCCTGTAATTAGGAGGATTGATATTGAACATTTTCTATCTTTTGCTTATGATTTGGGGATTTTCGTTCTTGAGGTTTATATAACTCAGAAGTGTGGTTATGAAATAATCGTTTTTCCGACGGATTTTGTATTCTCTTTCAGCTTGATTAGAGCCTTCCAGAAGTCCAAATTATTCTATTTGTAAGGTGTATTGGCCAAATTTGAGATAATTGTACTTGTGAAGGATATCCACAGAATTACTCTGACTGCTCATTTTGAGGTCCCAGAGAAAATACTTTCCAGCTGAGATCAAGATTGAACCTGTTTTGAGATGAGTAGCAAACTTTAATGAATCTAGACTAAATGTCATCTCAGTTATAAGAATTTGATTGCTCACTGCAAAATTGTGACACTGTTAGATGGAGGGTAAAATTGCATAACCATATGAGTTTACATTATCTTACCTTATTTTGAGACTTATTACCTTCATTATTTCACTCTAAAATACGAACAATCTAGCAATAAGATTGGTTAAAGATCCATTTTTCACCTGAAGGTTCTTTATCTTCACAAATAAATTTATCGTTCGTTTCACGAGAATGTTTCCACGTTTCACGAGCGTATTTATTTCCATTTTCTATTTAAAAATTCCTCTAAGGCTCCTAACGAATCTCAACAATACAGCAACCTGAAACTCAATTCAGTTCGTCATCTCAAAAAACAAACAGTCTTCCTTTTTTTGTATGTCTGGGACCTAAAGAATGTGATTTCTAATTTCAATCCAACTTTTATCTGCTCTGGCTCCCCTAATACATAAGCACAGCAGAAGTTTGGAGTTTGTTGTTCTGGAATTAATTTCGTCCATTCAGGGAGCTGAGGTCCACAGAAAATAATTATTCGTCGACTTTTCAATATTCAAATAGTTGTAGGTATTCATATAAAATCTGTTGTGGAATAATCTGTTATTGATGTTCTGGAATTGGTATCTTCACCATACGATGGAAATAATTTTGCTATGTGAATGTATAATTCCATCGGATTTTCAATTGAATAATCCATATTTAATATCATGTTCCTGATACTCAATTTCTACTTCAGGAGCAGAGAACATTAACGTTTAATACCAGGACTATGACATTGTGTGCTTTACTGAAACATGGCTCAACAATAATGTGCTTAATAGTGAAGTGTTTTCTGGAAATTACAATGTATATCGCAGAGATCGAGCATCCTCAGCCTGCTGCAAACTGGAAGGAGGTGGCACCTTGATTGCTGTCAATAACTCAATCAACAGTTACAAACAAGAGGATTGGTCATCCGAAGCAGAGGATCTTTGGGTAACATTAATAACTGATGCAGGTGATAAAAAATCTATAAAATTTCATTTGTGTTGTGTATATATACCCCCATCTGATTATGTGGCTTTGAACTCCTTCTGCTCGAAATTGACAAATATTATCACTAGCAATCCGAATGACAATATCGTGATTTGTGGTGACTTCAATATTCCCTCCATACAATGGCATTTCGATGAAGTCAACAATCTTTGTAGTCCTAGGAATTATACTGACATAAGTAGTAATTTGTTGATCGATACACTCTCTTTTGGAAATTTTACTCAACACAATCATTTTACTAATTCATCTGGAAATATACTTGACCTTGTCTTCAACAACTGTGGTTACTTACGAAGGTTACAATTATGCCAATCACCCCTAGTTCGTGAAGATAAGTTTCATACTACCCTTGAATTCCTTCTGGAATTATCACATATAGACACGACTCGTAATCTGGAAAATAAATTTCATGCCTACAACTTCAATAAGGCAAATTATGACTTGATCAACAATTTCTTTGCTGGGATTGATTGGCATGATCTGTTTCTGGGAAAAACTGTTGATGAGACCGCTGACCTTTTATATTCTAAGATCAACATAGCTGTAGATAAATTTGTTCCTAAAAATCCAAAAATCTGTAAAAAATTCCCTTGTTGGTTTTCTGTTAGCACCATCAAGGTTGTTAAAGAGAAGAATAAATATCACTCAAAATGGAAAAAATACCATAACGACATGGATTATCTCACCTTCAAAATCTTACGTGGACGTTCCAAATATTTGATAGAACTTGACTACAAAAATTACATAGATTCATGTGAAAAAAATATATCATCCGATCCTAAACAATTCTGGCATTATGTAAAGACAAAGAAGAACTCATCCAGTAGGATAACATCTGTTATTATTAACGATGATATTGTGACGGAAGGTCAAACAATTTGTGAAATATTTGCTGATCATTTCTTATCAGCTTTCAGTGAACCTTTGAAAAACCAAGGAAACAGGGTATCTACTCGCTTTAATTCCCAAAATATAAGTAACTATTACATACCCGAAAACGTTATCAAATCTAAAATACAATCTCTCCCGAATAAGGGCCCTGGCCCCGATGACCTTCCGACAAATTTCATCAAAATGTGTGCAGAGAGTTTGACATTTCCTCTCTATCTTCTGTTTAACAAATCTTTAGATAAAGGGCATTTTCCAATCGCCTGGAAAAAAGCATTCGTTGTTCCAGTTCATAAATCTGGACAGAAACAGTTACCTCAGAATTATAGACCAGTGTCCAAATTATGTATATTAGCAAAATTGTTTGAAAGTATAATATTTGAATATCTTTATCATGATGTCATGCAAATTTTGAATATACAACAACATGGATTTGTCAGAAAGCGCTCTGTCGAAACAAATTTATTCGAATATACTGAATATATATTGAAAAGCTTGAATAGCCGAATTCAAGTGGATGCCGTTTACACCGACTTCAGCAAAACTTTTGATAAGATCGATCATACATTGCTGGTACAAAAGCTGGCTGATGTCGGTGTAACCGGCTGCCTATTGAATTGGTTTCAATCTTACGTGAGTGATCGTAAACAGGTTGTTTGTATTGGAAACTATCTCTCAAGATCAGTTAACATAACGTCGGGTGTACCTCAAGGTTCACATCTAGGTCCCCTACTATTTAACATTTATATAAATGACATTTCTGAATGTTTCAAATTTTCGTATTTTCTTATGTATGCTGATGATCTCAAAATATTTCATACAGTTTCACACTTGGACGATTGTAAGCTAATTCAAGAGGACCTTGACCGATTTTCAGAGTATTGCAGGAATAACGCCCTTTTTCTGAACCTCAACAAATGCCATCAGATGACATTCAGTAGAAATTTCAACTTGATAACCAATAATTACACCATTCAGGATCATAATCTCCACACCTGTAGTGAAGTGAAGGATTTGGGAATTATCTTCGATTCGAAAATGACCTTCAATAAACATATTTCTTACATATCTAAGAAAGCGAACAAAATGCTAGGTTTCATTTTAAGAACAACTTATCCTTTTAGAAATTATAATACCTTGCGTACTCTTTTTATGTCATACGTAAATAGTCTGTTAGGCTTTGCGTCAACTATTTGGAACCCCCACTATATAATATACATGAAACAAATAGAAAGTATCCAGAACAAATTCATTTATTATGTCAACAGAAAATATTTCGATAACACTCCACAATATCACTTCGTACATCAAAAACTCAATTTGATCAGTCTTGCTGACAGAAGAGCTATTGCCGACATCAAATTTTCTTTCAAAATTATAAATGGTATCATTCATTCTCCATCCATCAATAACTTGATTTATTACAATATTCCACAATATTCCACCCGCCATTATAATCTGTTCCATACATCCATACCAAACACAAATTACTATTTGAATTCCCCTTTACATCGATGCTTGAAAAGTTATAACTCTATTTCAAACATAATAGAGATTGATATTTTTTCTGACTCTTTAACTACCTTTGTGAACAAACTTAAGAAACACTTTGTACTATCGCCTAATTGATATGTTCAGTATTTTTTTCATATACATATAAAATATTTCTACTGTATTGTATTGAATTGCAACATGACATATTTAGTAGTATATATGTGAATACTGTTTCTGGGTTCGTCCCGTTTGTATTCCTGT